CGTCCCTGGGTCCCCTTCCATCGGGGAAGGCTGTGTCTGTCTCCCTGTCTATTTCGATCTTTAATATATGCATGCACTGCCTCATGGAGCAGAAGCTGCGCAGTACTGAAGCTTGCGTGTCTGGTTCGTCTCTCTGCATTGTGGTCTGGGGGTGCGTGCATTTCCCCGCACGTGACTCCAGCTCCTGAGTTTCACGGAGGCCTTGAGCACGCTTGCAGGCTGCAGGGTGGCCGTGTGGTGAGCGAGTGCGGTGCGTCCCGGTTGAAGCAGGGTGGCGGCCTGGGCGTGGCCCGAGGCACCGGGCATTTCTCTGTGTTGGGAAGCTCTCCCATCCTTTCTCCCAGGTGCGTGTGCGTGCGTGCACGTGTGTTCCTGGCTGTCTGTGGCGTGATTCTGGAGAATGGACGCAGGCCCTTTTTCATCTTTAAAAATGTGGGACAGAGTCTCACTTAGTTGCTAAGTGGCCCGGGCTGGCCTCAAACTTGTGACCCTCCTGCCTCAGCCTCTCTGCGGCTGGGCTGGCAGGCGTGCGCCTCAGCGCCCCGGCTTCTCTTGGAGGCTGCCCCTTTCTTTCCTTTGGGTCTGCTTCCACGCGTGGAATTCCCGGGGCATCTGAAAACTCCATGCTCGGCCTTTGGGGGAGCCGCCATATTGATTTCCACGGCAGTTCCGTATTTTGAACAAGGCATCGCTCACTGAGAAAGGGCAATTAAAACATCACAAGCATTCCCCCTCGGAGCGCTGAGAGCTGGGATTCCTCTCCCCGTCCCTCCACCCCCGTCCTGGCGAGCGCCACTCTCTCCAGCCCTGCGTTTAGCGGTCTCAGCTGCTACACCCGAGTGGCACGGGTGGTACCTGTTTCCGGTGCCCGGCTGATTTCATCCGTGCCTGGGTCCTCCCATCCCATCCCTGTTGCAGAAGGCGGAGAACAGGTTCCCATCTGCACAAAAGCAAAGGATTCTGCGTTATACCCAGAACTCTCAGTGTCACTTGGAACTCTGTAACTGCAGCAGGGGTGATGAAAATGTATGGTGAATTTAAATTAAAAGTGCATTACAGTAACAGATGCATGGCCATGAATCCCCTCAAAATCCCCCCGGCTTTGCACACACTCGTCCCACCGTCCTGGCCGCTTTCTGCAGCAGCTCTGGAGTCCTCTTTCCTGAGGGTCTTTCCAAGGTGTGGTAAGAAACATAGTCTCTGCAGCTGCTGAGTGCTGTCCATCAGACAGGTAGCTTGTAAACACACGACGCCGCGTCCTCGTCCACCTCAGTCACCAGATCGGGCACTGTGTGACCTCCGGTTCCTCCCCAAGGTCAAAGTGACCAGGAAAGGTCAAAGTGTTGAGTGCATTCAGCACATCAAGGCAGCCAGGACAGCGCAGCTAAAGACCCTCAGGAAAGAGGACTCCAGAGCTGCTGCGGAAAGCGGCCAGGACAGTGGGATGAGTGTGTGCAAAGCTGGGAGGATTGTAAAAGGATTCGTGGCAGTGGGGCTTTGACTGGAATACATTTTTAATCTAAACATTCACCATGTTTTTGTATCACATTTCATTCATAAGAATAATTTATCAGTGTATAATAGACTACTTCTCAAACAAAAATTAGGTAAGTTGCCCTAGTATTTCTCAGTGGCTTCCCCTGGGTGTGGTTCCCAGGGGTTCAGAGCCGCGCTCTCCTTCCTGGAGGTCGTCTTTGCTGCCTGCGAGCTGGGTGTGTTTGATGTCCTCGCGGAGGCCCCGGGGCCCCTGGACGTGGGCGCAGTTGTCATGCGGCTGGGCACCAGTTCCCATGGGACAGAGCTGCTGCTGGACGCCTGCGTGTCGCTGAAGCTGCTGACGCTGGAAACAAGATCGGGGAAAGGTAAGGAGGTCTGGTATCTCAAGGAGGTGACCTGCTCCTCCTCGTCCTCCTCCATCTCCTCCATCTCCTCCTCCTCCATCTCCTCCTCCTCCATCTCCTCCTCCTCCATCTCCTCCTCCTCCA